TATTGAATTCATTCTATCTATTATAGCTTTCGAGTAAATCAATGAAATGTGAAAACACTGCATTTTCGAACGTCATTTTTTCAGTTTTTCAACTTTGAACGCGTATTACGGCAATTCGGCATTCAGCTTTCATATGCATATATCGGATTCATTCTATCTATTATAGTTTTCGAGTAAATCAATTAAATGTGAAAACACTGCTTTTTCGAACGTTGTAATTTCAATTTTAATTGATAAACAAACAATGTTGGTTACTCCAGTATCGACATTTGTCATTGGTTGTACCAAATTAATTGATGTTGAAGGTGTTGTACTAATATCGTTTTGTTGTTGTTGCAGAACGACTTGTTGAAAGAAGAATTGGAGGCCGAGCGCAAAGGATGCGGCCGTTACAGGACGAGCTGCGTACGTGCGGCGTTGAAAAGGAGCCCGTTGGACGAGTCGGAATGCGCGAAGAAGTTGATGGAGAGCCGCGAGCATGCGGAGCTCCTTTCGCAGTTCCAAAAGGGCATGGAGCATCTGTCCACGTGCAAGAGGAAAAAATGTTCGGTGTGCTCGTACACCAAGTCGACGTTCGGGAACAAGGGTCGACAAAAGTACTAAAACCTCAACAACTGCTGTAATTTGCGGCCGTCTGATTGCTGATTGTTCGATTCGGTTTCTTGTAGCAAAAAGTTATTCTCCTGCCTTCAAACGCCGTTCATGGAGGTGCGCAACATGCTGAAGCCGCCGCCATCGCCCGTCCACGGCGGCACCAACGAAGGTGAGAGCCTGTCCGAGTGGTTCTGCCCTTTGGAGGATCCCAGCGAATGTTCCTCACTGAGTCTGCCCTTCGCCGAACTTGCCATTTCCTACATGGACGATGGATCGGACTTGAACGTCGCGCGGTACGGAGAGACCGACATCATTCCCTTCAATCACGACGCCCTCAGCCACCTCGCCAACAACAGCACCAGAGGTGAGGACGCTTCTAATTCTATAAAATCAAGTAATACTTTTATTCACTTAATTATTCACAAGAATTCATTCATAAACAATCTTCATTGCAACATATTACTATTAAGATAAGTAGTAGTGAAATGTATATAAATTAGATGATATTCTAGTGATAATCAGTGTTAATCTTATAACGATATCGATTGAAACGGAAAACTGCCCTTCTGTGTTCGTAGGCTTCGGAAGCGATTCCGGCTTCTCTTCGGATGTTTGCGCGGATTACAAGAGCGACGTGACGACGCCAAAAGAGAAGTTCAGCCCGAAAGGTACACTCGACGACGCCGAATGCGCGAAGCTGACCCGGACGAAGTGGACGGCCTCCTTCCGGAAGCTCATCAACAAGATCAAAAAGTAAGTGCAAGAAGCAGCACCGCCGATGACGCGTCCTCAAACCCACCCCACTCATATGACACCAACATCCGGGTAACCGGGAATCGTCTGTTGTTCCCTCTCTTCCCGTTTACAATAAACACATTTACACGTTTACTGAAACCGGAAGGAAGAAAATAGGTGGAAGTTTATTTATTTACAGTTGTTGTTTTTTTTTGTAAGATACTCGACGAAGACAGCGTGAACCAAGTGTGTGTGAAGGAAAAATATATACCTTTGTTCAAAGTTTATTTTTGCTCTTTTCATTTTTCTTCTTTCTCTATTCACTATTAATTCTCTATTATTATTTTGTTTGAATATTCGATTCGACATCTGCATAGTCTTGCGCTCTGTTAACTATTTACGAAGCGTAAATAGTTAGCCGTCATCATCAACCATATGATCATGATCATTGAGCATCCCGAGATCGCGCCCCATGTTCCATCATCAACACTCATTTAACTTGTTTTAATTTGTTACTATAATTAATAATATAGTTAAGCGGATCGATGATACATAAATAACATTATTATTTATTTATTTACTATATTTATATATATATATAAACGTATAAATATATATATAAATGGTATACTTATATAGAGAGACTATATAGAGATTAAATCTTAGATTTAGTCGAACTTAATATTATTTTCTTTCGCCTAGACTGATAGTATTTTAAAGCTAGTGTATTAGTTTAACTTGAAGGTATATATTATGAAATATATTAAGATTATTGTTAATCGATGAGGGCTAATTTACTTAGCCTCGAAGAAACATTGCCAAACTACGTATGCTCCAAAAATAATTAATATACGAACCTCCTCTCCTCAATTTAAAAAAAAATAATTAATTAAATAAATCCCGTTCAATATTAACAACAATGTGATGAACGTTGCATTTCGCCAAATAAAATAATGAAAGAAACGTCGTTTTTTTTTTGACTAGGAAAATTATTGATGTTAGTGTGAAATTCGTTGATGATGTGATATATAAAACACTTTATTGTAATTAACTCGTGACTAAAATCGAAAAGAAAATCAAATTGAAATTTGTTTGATTATTAACAGTTTGTCAATGAAATAATAGAATGTTAAATGCGTATGTTTATTAACTCGAGATTTGGTATTTTTACGGAAATGTCTTAAGATTATCCATGCCCCACATCATGTTTGTTTCTCTTTTTAAATATAACTGTTACGTTGTGTAAAAAGAAAAAATTAAATTAATTCGTTGTTGAAACTATTGGAAATGTAGCCCCGTTCTGTTGATTAATCTATAATTAAATGTACTTAGTTAAGTTTGAGAGCCGACCCAGAAGCTTTGTTAATAATTTATTTACACTATTATCGTATGTACTTAAGTAACTCTTTCTTGTGCCTTTTGATTTGTGCGACCACCGAGAACAGCAAAATAAAAAGGGTATTGAATATATATATAAAATGAAGATGCGACTACTTCTAAGGATCCAGACGCACTCTACGTTTAGTATTAATTTGTATTAACTTTTTTTTTATGTAAGTTTATCTATTATTATTTGTTTATGTTGTGTTTAATTAATTTAATTTACATCTATAATTTTCTATGTGTATTTCTAATTTTTTTTTTCGATATTATATACATGCAACTATTGTGTTAATAATAATAATATTAATGTTATAATAAGTACGATACATTCCAGCTTCGTTTTTTTGTACTTTTCTGTTATATGTAATTTATTTTGTACTGTAACTTTTCTATACACCTGCGTGTGCGTGTGCCTAGATTCTAATTTTTGTTTTAATACATTCTTGTGATAAAAATAAAGGATTTTCTTACGTGTCCTACAACTTTATGAGCAATGTTTATTCGGCGTTTAGTGAGAAACTCGAAGTCTTTCGCTTTCAGTGGAATGAAGAAAAAAGTAGAAAAATTCGTTACACTTTGAAATACAAAACGTACAAGTTGATCAATGGAAGCAAAACAATTGTATTGAGGAAATGACTTAAGTTAAAACTTTCAATTTGAGAGTCAATTTTGTGTAGATGCGAGTTTTATTTACAATCTTTATTGATTAGATGAACTTTGCGATATTTATCATGGTTTACTTGTTGAGTCCAATTCGTGATTTTTCAAGTACTTTGCAACGTTTGTTTTGCTGACAAGTATTGAAACGATTTAAGTAATCTATGAATTTACTTGTCAACTATTGCTTAGTGTATAGTCTCCATAGTTACAATAACTGATTGGAATAGTTAAATACATGTACAGTGGAGCCTCGCTTAACGAACACCTCACATAACGAGCAAAGTTCTGGTTACGAATGAGTTTAGATTTGCTAGAGAGTAAAGTAGTTTTATCTATGTTAAATAAGTCAAATTAAATAAAATAGTTTTAGGTATTATAAATAAATATATATTTATTGATTTCTGAATGGACTACACGATACATGTCAAGTAATATATCAAGTAACATATGGTTTACTTGTTGACTCCAATTCGTGATTTTTCAAGTACTTTGCAACGTTTGTTTTGCTGACAAGTATTGAAACGATTTAAGTAATCTATGAATTTACTTGTCAACTATTGCTTAGTGTTTAGTCTCCATGGTTACAATAACTGTTTGGAATAGTTAAACACATGTACAGTGGAGCCTCGCTTAACGAACACCTCACATGACGAGCAAAATTCTGGTTAACCATGAGTTTAGATTTGCTAGAAAGTAAAGTAGTTGAAGAGTTGCTTTATTTATGTTAAATAAGTCAAATTAAATAAAGTAGTTTTAGGTATTATAAATAAATATATATTTATTGATTTCTGAATGGAATACACGATACATGTCAAGTAATATATCAAGTAACATATGGTTTAATTGTTGACTCCAATTCGTGCTTACTCAATTACTTGTCGAGTAATTTGCAGACAAATATTGATGGACGAGCGAAGCGAGTCCTGAAACCAACTGTATTCTTGTAATCGAAACGATTTACTTGTCAAGTATTGCGTATAGTTTCCATGGTTACAATAGTTTGTTTTCAAGTGTGGAATAGTTAAGTAGGTTTTAATTAAAAGGAAGGATGTAATCTTTGAATTTGAAGCGACTTGTGGTGTAGAGAAAGTTTCTTCGTTACATGTAGAGAACATAACGCTGGTGTTCGCCATGGTATGGGCAGACGATGGTCTGCTGTGTCAAGTATCCCCAGCTTCCGAAATACACGATAACTCTTTCTTCTATGATGCGATGATTCTGATGGTTTCTGGATGGCTGCGGACGCAGAATGTGCGGAGTGAGACCCTGGGAAGTCAACCAGTGGTAAGGAGCTTCCTCCGCTTCCAACGGGAAATGAAGTTGATTGTCGGTGGGAATCATCCTACGAAAACACTACTCGTTCACAATTAACATACAAAAAATAAAAATTGTCCAAATTTGCATTCACGATGTTTTCGTTCTGCTTTCAGGTCGATGGACGGATGGATTTTGCAAGGGATTGTTGTAGCTTTTAGACTGATTTCGGGGAAGATGGAAAACCCATTTTTTTAATTACATTAACTAACAAAAAAAAAAGATAGAGACAATATTTACTAACGTTGATAATAATTCATTAAAAGCGATTCACCCACAAATTTTACATTCATTAATCTTCAATAATCATCACTCAATAACTAAAGTCAAGAAATTAAGCAATGGAAATGATTTAATAAATAATATAATTGTGATATTAAACTTACGAGATACTTGAGCGTTCTGCACTACGTTTCAATGCAAACTAAACAACCCTCAACTTAATTTGAAATATGATAATCTTTGTTTATTAGTTCTGCTGCTATAAAACGTGGATTGTTTTGATATTTCGTATTTACTACTCATGTAACAAAGATATAAGTTTCCAGATTGATGTTTACAATACCGTAGGAATCGGAGAGGGCTGTAATCGTTAAAGAAACAATGGCTATCGCTCCAAAGAGTCATGTCTTTATTTTTTTACAGTATTTACAGTATTCCTGTAAACATAGAAACGATTAAAAAGTTATATAACAAATTAATAAGTTTTTGTTATTAGTTTACGATTTACTTGCATATATTTAATATAATATAAACATATAGTTTCCATAAAGATATTTGAGTAGTCCATTGTTTATTAACAACTAGGTAACTCGATTATATAGTAGTATACATTACAAGACTATTTTGCCAAACAAAAGACAGACTATTTACACTTTATAGATAGATTACTTTTCATAATAATAGTAGAATTAAATAGAGTAACAAAACTAAAGTTGCATAATAATTATAAGCATTTCAGAAGACAAAATTCGAATACATTTTAAATATGCAAAATGTTATCAAACTTTGCCAGCAGATGGTGCTAAGAAAATATAATTAATCGGTGATAACTATGTAATTAAATAAGAAAATATTGGGATGAGTAAATTAAAATTAATTAAATTGCATAATGGACCTTTTAGCTAATTTTTTATTCTAATTAAAGCCGTAATTAAAAATTGGAAATTTGATCAGCGCTAAAAGTGCTGAACTATAAGCTTATTGATGATACCAAAAGATGGCTAAGAAACAAACCCCAATTCTTATGTATCCCATCTAACAGTACAAAAGTTAAACACTTAGTTTAATAATTAATTTAGAACATTAATTAATATTAAAATTGTACATAAATGTGTTACAGATTATTTAATTTCTATTTAAAATATTTTCAATTTGTTTATGTGATTATTAAAGACTTTATACGTGTTGAAATAACATTTATAACATAAAATTTAAACATTATTTTTGATTCAATAATGAAAATTAAATTGTTTAACGATTATTGCTACTAATTGATATATAAATAAACTATTTCATATTACAAAATAAATACATTGGTACCAATTCCATTTTAGTGTATGCAACTATCTTCATGTAGTTCTTTCACATGTACTTTATAAATATAACCTAGTTTAGTATATCTAAAAGTGTCCAATATATCTACAAAAATGGCAAAGCAAAATAACTTACAAGGATTTAAAGGTAATATTATTAATATTTGTAAACTTATACTTTATGAATCGTAATTTCAGTTATTACAACCAAGTATTGTAGCAGTTCGAATGCAGAACATGAGCTTTTCATCAAAGAGCATTCTGTTAAAAACCAAGCAGAGGATCAGCCGATTGGTAGAACTTTGTTCCTGATCAATATCCCACCATGGGCCACAGAGAGTGCACTTCTGAATGCATTTAAAAAGTCTCAAATCAAAGTGGAATCAGTGAAATTTGCACCAAGGGAAAGTCATGATAATGGTTTCAGAAATGCGTTTGTGGTGGTGGACAATGGTAAAAGTGTTGTGAAAGCTTTGAAGTTATCTTCCTTGCCACCTTTATCAACAGATGGAGAGAAAATTAGTTTAGGATTGGAGCAATGGGCCAAAAGTTATAATGATAGTGTGAACTGCAGAGAATCACTGATAGCCAAGATGACGGAAGTTGTAACGAATTACGACTTCTCGTCGACGAAGGAGAAGGAAGAGGAGAAGAATCAACAAGTGGACGATGAGGGTTGGACTGTGGTGACTAAGAAGAAAGGTGGCATGAAGCGTACTGAGAGAGCTATAAATAAGATTAAGGGAAAAATGGAGAGGAAGGAGAAGGCTTTGAAGAACTTCTACAGGCATCAAATCAGACAGGAAAAGAAGGATCAGCTTGTTTTGCTGAGGAAGAAGGTGGAGGAGGACAAGAAGAGGATTCTTACTTTGAGGCAAAGGAGAGCCTTCAAACCATTCTGATTTGTTATATTTATTTCTTATTCTGTATATACATTTAACATTAAAAAAAAACTTTTTACAATATTATCATAGTCACTTGTTCATTTTATGTATGTATATGACAATACCCAAGAGTTTGTTTTGTGGCAACTGAGATAATTGATTCACGAGTTCGTTGACATTTCCATAAATGCATTTTCCAAACAATGCAATCTGAATTGCTTGCGCATATCTATCCAAAGATAACTGAAGATTTGCATCATTCTCGAACAGCGTCTGTTTGTCGACACCCTTTTTTCTCTTGTGCAACTCCAATGAGTATCTACATATAGAACCGACTGGTACTATCAGATGCTGTGAACTCACAGCCCTCGGTGGATTGCTAACAGGTATTTCCAATAAACTATTCAACAGCGATAAATGCAGTTGACTGTACAACTCGTTATTCTGGTTATAAATCGGCGCTAAAACGCACCACTTCAACAAACCAGCAATAGGAGTTGTAGCCTCCATGGCAATAGCGCCAGGTGGCAGCGGACTTTGCATAATCTGCGCTGCTACACACAATTTGTAATTCTCGCTTACCCAATGCACGATCGTCTCTAGCAACGTCTTAGGTGGAAAAACGATCTCTTTCTTGCTGTCCACATAATACAGCTCAGCCACTGCAGTTAAAAAGTTTGCAGTAAACTGCTGCGAATTCTGATAGAGCAATTTCAGTTGGTCAATACTGTTTGGTATCAAAATGAAGTAATCCATGACCAAGGCCTCAGCAAGTTTGCAGCAGTTTGGTGAAGTGTTTCCTAACTGCTGCATCCATGTGCTAGCAGATATAAGCACTTTTGCAGAACCAGTGCCAATGGCAATCGACACCAGTTTACTCAATATACCCAAACGTTGGCTTGCTGTGGTCCCACTGAAAAGTGTCAGAAACACAGAATTTCTTGCTGCATCTCCGGTCACACTATTGAAATAATCAAACAGCACTTCCAACAATTGCAATTCTTGTATCGCTGTGAACACTGAATTTCGTTTGTTGCCTCTCCTGTCCACTTCACAAAATACAAACTCAGCCATCAGATCCAGTGCAAGATCCATTTGTTTTATATTCGTATTCCTTCCACATATTAGCTGCCCTAAAACAGAAATAATCGTAAATATATTTTTTATATAAATTTAAAGGTTAGAGAAACTGAAAAAAACCTATTTTATTTAATGCTTCCTTGGCACAGTTCGGAAATTCCGTTTTCCTCAAGCCTTGCTTAATCTCCGAACTGCTCATTGTTTTAAATTATCAATAAAATCTTTAATTAATACTCGGTGAAAGTAAACAATTTATTTATTTTTTCCTCCACATATTTTGTTTACAATTACTAAGGTGAAGTTAGGTTTTCAGATATACCAACGTAATAAAGTTTATTTTTGAAATTCAAATTTAATTTTGCTTTGAAGGCTTCAATTTGTTTTAATCATCTCTCCAAGTTGTTTCTACCTCATCCGTACGATATCGTTGGGTGATGAAACAATCCTCCCATTTCATTTTGCAGCCACTTCTGAACATTTCGGCACCTGCATGAGCGATCATAACACCATTATCAATGCAAAATCTTTCGTCTGTAGCGAAAAGCTTTGCTCCGCGCTCTTCGCACATTTGCCCCATCATTTCTTGTAATCTCTCATTGCAGCCGACGCCTCCAACTATCAAAACTTCTTGAGAGTTGCAGTGCGCCAAAGCGCGTTCTGTAGTCTCCACCAACATAGCAAACAAATTCTCCTGCAAAGAAAAGCACAAGTCTTCTGGGGTGTAGCCTTCTGCTAACAGCTTTGGTACTTTCTCCTCCAAATATGACAGTATTCCAGAGAAACTTACATCCATGCCTTTCACGCAGTAAGGCAATTGAATGAATTTGTTGCCTTTCTTGGCCATCTGCTCGATGTTGTAACCAGGACTTGGAGCATTAGATAATTTCAATACTCTAGCGAAACGATCCAAGCAATTTCCAATTGCAATATCAATGGTCTCTCCAAAAATCCTGTAGCGTTTCCTTGAATAAGCAATGACTTGAGTGTTGCCTCCACTCACATACAATACTGTTGGATTTTTGGCACCTGTAATTAATCTTCCCATTTCAATATCTACAATAATTAAGGATGATTCATATTAAATTCTTAATAATTTTATTCTTATTTAATTTCATAAAGGATACGTCCTATGCAATGATTAACACCAATCAATGGTTTATTCCATAATTGGGCCACAGTCCTTGCAACAATTGCTGTTGACTGCAGAGGAGCTCCCATTCCGGGGCCCTTGGTGTAACAGACCACATCTATGTCGGAGGTGCATATTTTAGCATTGGCCAGCGCCTCTCTCAACACTGTTATTATGTTATCCCTATGATGCTGAGCTGTCTCCTTCGGCAGGAAACCCTCTCCAGGTGGTGTAATGTACGTGCGGCGACAATTCGATAAAACTGTTCCATCCACGACAATTCCAATACCCAATTTATTAGCACTGCCTTCAAAACCGATTGCCACAACCATTTTTCTTGCAGTTAAATCCAACAATTCCCAAATATTTATAAATATTGTAGGTTAAGTAGTTCAAACTAATCTAAAGGGAACAGTTATTTTTCTTCTTTTCTATAGAAAGAATGAACAAATATTAAAGTAGTACAATAAATATTCAATTTATGCATAATTAATCAATTGCAACATCAGTTTAAACAGGAATATAAGTGAGTAGTTCAAATGAACCATTTAGTATTTTCGTGATTAGAAAATAAATATTAAATTGCGTACGCACAAGGCAAATAATTATTGAAACATTAATAAATAGTTGATTTTAATTGGTAATTAAGTATTTAGAATCAATGTAAAGTTAATTTTAACTTATAAAACCTTTCAATCTGACAGGAGCATAACCTGGAAATATGCAGCTGATATCGAAATTGTTTCGTATTACCCAGGAGCAAATAAGTAGGAATGTTCGTCAAATATCATGGACTTCGAGGAATTGTAACAGGAAGTTGATGAACGAGGAGGTGTTTAGGCGTAAGAAGCAGCAAACCTACATTGGACCGTTCGGTTGGTTTCTCTTGGTAAAATGACCTATGGTTCAAAGATTTTGAAATTCTAGTATATTATTTATTTTTTAGACAATACCAGCAGCTACATTTGGATTAGGAACATGGCAGGTGCAGAGGAAGCAATGGAAGGAAAATCTTATAAAACAGATGAAGGATCGCGTGAATACAACGCCTGTTCCGTTACCTGAAAGTATGGAAGAGATCGAGAGGCTCGAGTATTACCCTGTCCACGTGAAGGGGCATTTTCTGCACGATAAGGAACTGTACATGGGACCTAGGACGTTGTTGGCAAAAGGCGACGCTTCAACGACGAGCGGGTTGATGTCGAAGAATCAGATGTCGCAAGGATATTTGGTGATAACGCCGTTCAAATTGGCCGACAGAGAGTAAGTCTATAGTAAGTCGGGTTTAGATGGTAATTGCGTTCCATTCTAGCGTAACGATTTTAGTTAACAGAGGATGGGTCGCGGCTAAAAATAAACGACCGGAAACCAGAACGGCTGGGCAAGTCCAGGAAGTCGTCGATGTTATTGGCATAGTCAGATTGCAAGAAAATAGGCCAAACTTTATGCCCAATAACAATATCAACGCAAACTCTTGGTTTTATAGGTATACTTTATCCTAGACGAGAAGAGTACTAAATCTAAAGTGGTTTTGTTTTAATGCAGGGATTTAGATTGCATGTCCGATGTAACGGGATCTTCTCCGATATTCATTGATGCCACCAATGATTTCGACGCGATCGGAGGACCTGTTGGAGGTCAAACCAGGATTTCCATAAGGAACGAACATCTATCGTACATCTTCACTTGGTACAGCTTGTGCGCTGTGACCAGTTGGATGTGGGTCAAGCAGTTCGTGAAGAAACGTTAATTAAAGCTTAAACCATGTGTAGAAAGTGTAATATTATATAGTCAGAAAAGTAATAAAACATCATATATATTTTAATAATACAATTTGTATATAATCATATAAGATTAAAATATGAGCCATTTAAATTTTAATCATCAAGTTCATAATAAATTCAACAATCATTTTTTTTTCTCCTAAATATATAATATAATTATAATAAATATATCTACTTGATATTATCTTTGGCGGAAATGTTATTATTTATTTTTAATCTCTTTCCCTCTGCGCGCTCTTTCTTTCTTTCATTTTTTTTTGTATTACATACAAATAATGTTGGCTCGAAACACTAATACTGCACTATATCGTAATCGTAAAGCTTGGATGGCATTCTTCTTGTTCTCATTGGCAACAACATTAGTTAAATGCAACCAACACGTACAACATACACATTCTTCTTATATATTTGTTTTCTGTTTGTTCAATATTTAACAACTATGATATAATAATATAATGGTCAAGGAGGGGTTATATATAGAGATAGAGAGAGAGATTTACAATACTCTTGCTGTTTCCAAAAAAAAAAAACAAAACAAATAGAATAGAATAAACAAAGAAACATACACCATTAGAAAATATATGAAATAGGAAGATTCAGGATGACAGTCACACATTTTGCAAACACAACTGACGAGATTTCTCTTTCCGAAATTTCTTGGCACATTCATTTACAGAATATAAAAAGAGTTTAATTAAAAAAAAAATAATTAAAAGACACAATAAAAAAAATAATCATATACGTGTGTTGTATAAATATAAAAAATATTACGAGATTATCCATGTAAGAGTTATAAAAAAATAATAATAATAAAAATAACTATACGAAATGAAAAATACACTTACTTAAAAGCTTTAGGCCTAAAATCAATTAAAAAATACGAAAGTAAAAACGCACGCGCACACATATGTTATTATAAAATCGGATAAAATTGGCAGTCATGGGTCAAAACGAATCGTTAGGATATTATTATTATTATTACTCATGTGGTCGAGGTTGTGCACTCATCATTATTTCTTCTTCTTTCCGCCCGCATTTCCGTTGTTGTTATTGTTGTTGTTGTGATGGGCGCTCGAGTCGTGTGGTATGGTCCCGTTCGCAACCCTAAATTTAGTCCATTGTCAGTCAACGTGATTGTAGAATTTCGTGTGTGAAGTTACGGTGTTTCGTACTCACCTCTGATTTGTGTGTGGAACGGCGGCCCGTTGGTCGTCCATTCTGCCGGATTGGAATCTCATGATCAGCGAGAAGAAATCTTCGTCGGGAACGGTGGCACCGCTGCTGTGCACCACTGGAGGCGGGTCGGATTCCGCATCAACGGCAGGCGCCGGCAACGGAGATCTCTGATCTTCCAACCTGGAACTCTGGCATCTGGCCAGCTGCTCCAGGAAGTTATCATCGGGTACACTGTTGTTCCTCGCGTTCTCCGAGAGACGTTGGAGAGATCCAACTTGTAATCCTTAAAAAATAAGGGAAAACATTAAAATCCATATATGAATCCACTTTCTAGAATATCTAATGTGTTACCTGGAAGATGAGGTAAAACTGCCCGCTGTTCATCCATCCGTTTGCTCTGCATACCGACGATCATATCTAGAAGATCGGCGGGGCCGTCTTTGGGCAAATTAACGAGATTCGTGTTCTCCTTGTTGTCGACATTGAGGGAGCACCGTTGATCGTCCATGCGTTTCGACTGGAAGCGCGAGAGTAGATCGAAGAACGAGTCCTCGTCTTCATTTAAGCGCTGAGGAGATTCCGTTGTTGTCACGGGCGCGTTCAATACGGACAATCCGCCCCTTTGTTTTCCGTCGGGTGTCATCTATTGAAAAACTCATTATGTACCAGGAGAAACAACATTGTTCTGGTCATGCACAAACACACACACACACAGAGACCAGTCGGCATAAATCTGTACATTCACATTATTATATGGACATCATATTTTTAGAATATTCGTAATAATACATGTAATCTAATGAAATTATTTAATTTATATAAAAACACGTTGAACTTTGTACATTCTTTCGGTTACGTGCAAAGGGAGAACAATCACAATTTGAATTCATCTCAAACAGGGACAATGCATAAGTAAGCACAACCATTTGACGAAAGCGATTTTCAATATTTACACAATTATATACAACATTTTTTGTAATAATACCACATAAACATGTATTGGAAATTTTAAATCTGTTTCACTGAAGCATCGGTAACTTAATATAATTATGTCAATCGACATTGCTTCTTATGATGGAAAGTCTTTCCAATAAATAAGATGTCGTTGTACAACTCATCTTTTATGCATAGCATATGCACAGAACTGGAGCGGAAACGCGCTCATATTTCTTTGCTCATCACGTTTTCAATTTGGTTTGCGCCGCTTCCCAGATGGGATTCTAGCCATCTTTCAGGCTAGTTCATTTAAGTTTATCTGCCATAGTATCGTTAAAAAGATACCAATACAAAATTTGTGCATCAAGCAAATGAAAAATTCGTATTTCAAGCACGGATCTCAAATCCAATAACACCAAGCTATAGATTTTTTTTTTACTTACAATTTAGGTATGTGTTTGAAAGTTTGATTGTAAGTGAGAGAGAGAGAGAGAAGTAATAAAAAAGCCTTTCTACCTTAATCAGATCAAGCTGTTCCATGCTATCACGTCTCACCCTATTAAGACGGCTCATCACGGGCCCCATATCTCTATCCGATTTGGGTGTCTTGCAGCTCGCAGTGCTACTACTACTACTATCCGAATCCGGACTGTTAGGCAAATTGAGAACCTTCTTTAAATCGCAGATGTTCATCTTGGCGGTGGCTTCGCCCATTGGATCACCCAACTACGAGGAAAAAAAAGTGAATATCGTCATACAAATAAAGCTTGGATATCAAATTCTTACTTCTTTGCTGATTTCCAAATGGCGAGTGGCGAATTCCAATGCCTTCTCGTGATTCGACAATGCGGCATGGGCGTTGCCCAGAGACCAGCAAGCCCTGCCCTCGCCTACCCTATCATCCAGATGTTGGGCAATCAGAAGATGTCTGAGATGGTACTCTATCGCTGTGTTGTAATCACGAAGAAGTGTGTACGTGTTACCTAAGCTGTAGCAGGCCTGAGCTTCAACTGCTCTATCTCCTAACTCTTGTGCCAAAGATAAAGTTTTCCTTGAGAGATAAATCAATTAAATTACAGATATTACAGTTAACTTATGATAATTACTTGTAATGATGCGCGGCCTCGTCGAATTGACCCATGAAGATGTGAGAGTTGCCCAGGTTGCTGTGGGCTCTCCTCTCCGCAGCTCTATCACCGAATTGACGCGCAATGGATAAACGCTCTTCGTGGTACTTGATGGCTTGCTTGAAGTCGCCTAGCAAGTAATGGGTATTACCTAAATTTCCACAGGCCCGACCTTGAGCCGCTATATCGCCCAGTTCGCGCATCAGCGTCAAATTCTCCCTAAAACAAATCACAATTATATGGAGTCCATTTCGCCTGGACGATATTAAACGTACTCGTAATGTGAAACTGCTTGTTGTAGGCAGGTCTTGACGTCCGCTGAGAATTCGCCCGGATCTTTCTGTCCCACGCGACCGATATGTTTGCCTTTCGCGTGGTAAACGTTGCCCAAGTTGTACAGAGCTCTTCCCTCGCTCAATCTATCATCCAACTCCTTGGAGAGTTCCAAGTGCCTCTTGCAGTAGAGCACGGCTTCATCGAAACGTCCCATCACTTTCAGCGTGTTACCCAGGTTACCGGACGACTTGGCCTCTCCCAATTTATCACCCATAGTTCTAAAAGCATTCATATTATTATTGATTACTATGTTAGAAAAATACCAATTTACCTGGCGAGAGTAAGATCATGGTTGTGGTATTGCATAGCTCTTGTGTAGTCTCCCAAGTAGAAGTAAGCATTTCCCAATTGGCTATAAATAGCGCTGAGCGTTCTTAGATCATCGGTGCCGGCTTGGATGGCCGCTTGAAAGAAGGCCACTCCGGCCCTGCAGTCACCAGCCTTACAAAGCCTCTCCCCCTCAAGGGCCAATTCCAAACACATATTGCTAGATCCATCGTACGGCTAAATAAATTTTAAAAAAATTATATTAGAGAAAGATCTCGTTATTAGAAAGTATATTGAATATTACTACTATTAGAGTGTAACTGATTGCAACGATAATGCTGATGAAATTTATTACTTATTGTTCGTTAAATTACAAAGCTTCGCTATTAGAATGCGAATAGCAGTATGATTAAAATTTGAAATTATGATGCGCATTCCTAATAAGCTCGCACAATATCGAATGCGGGGCGATAATTACAATAATCTGCTTGCAATAAAATTTAATGGCACTTTGTTCTTGAGAAGATTAAAGCGTGCATTGTTCAAGTTGCAAATAGTAATTGTATTGTGTTAAGAAATACAATTATTATGCTAAATATAAATATTTACTTGACATTTCTAAATAGTAATCAACACTAAATATTAAATCAAATCAAATTACATTTTTTATTTACACATTCATATATTAAATCAATATAGACGATATTAAATTTAATATGTGAGAGATGTTAATATTGAAATTGAGAATTTCAAAGTTTCCAGTGTGGGGTGAGTTAATTAGTTTTTAATTGCTCAAAGAAGTAAGGAAGCACTTGTTGCTCGTGTTTGGTAAAGATGAAACAAGACAAGTTTAATAAAGTTGGGTTTCGAAAAGGGAAAGGATCAAGAACTAATTAAGAATTGGATCAAATAAAGAAGTTGCAGTGCCGCAATTAGGAATCAGGAAACAATTGGTGTAGCTGATTATAATCAGGATGGCTGAATAAATATTTGATAAACTTTTATGACTAACTGGATAGATTTTATTATCTATTTGCACCTAGATAATAATAGTAGAGATTTATTTTAATTATAATATATTTTATATAGGGAAAGTAGTGGATTAGCTAAGAAAATGAATGTAGAAAGAGCAATTGTCTCTGGATACAATTGCAACCATGAGAAACTCTTTAATTGCAGCCTCATTAATAATTAAGTGAAACAGTTGAAAAGCAGTAATTATGTATGACTTTAAATGAAGTTGCTGCTGACAGCTTAAACAATAAAAGCAAAAGCCTCATTTGTTTATATTGCATTTGTTTGATGACAATTAATTGGTTCACCCAAATTTCTTGTGATAAAACTGGGGTTGGGAGTTTCCTTAAGCCGAAGAGGTTAAACTCATTTCCTCATTGAAATGATTAATTAATTTATGAATCATTGCATTGCAACATGAAGTGAATAAAATGAAAATTATGCATACACACACCTGTGTGTCTCTTGTTAAGTTTTCTGCACTGGCACTTAGAGACATCGTTCTTGCTGTTACGAGCGTATCCTTCGGTTAATTAACTGTTTGTTTCACGCCAATTCACGAGTGCATTTCCCCGGATCTTACACGCAACTTATTCCACTGATTACCGATATGATGGCGACAGAAACCAGCACAAATATGAACAAATGTAATCATCAACAAAGTGAACAAAACAAAGCAGCTGCAGCTCTCTTCATGCGGAACAGCAGTGCCGCCTCCTCTGCATACAAACCTGAAATAATGAAGATATATCATTGAAATGCATACAAATTAACTAATATACCTTTTGAATTAGTATTTCTGTTGCTGTTTCAAACAATTAAAAACAATAATTATTATTAATATATTCAACAAACCAAATTTAGTTCAACTACTGACATCTGGAGTGCTCTCATAACATCTATTAAAACTTACATATCTATATTCATTATTTTAGAATTATCTACTTTTATTAATTAAGTATTATTATAATAGAACAACATTATTTAATTTTATTTCATAATGATTGAAAATTTCTAATGTGAAAATGTATAAGAAGTGCCACCTATCTGATAACATGTACATTATTTTTTATTAGAAAAATATTTTTGAATTTAAATTTGAAGAAAGTTTATTTAAAATTATTACGATTTACTTATATGGAAATGTTATTTGAATTAATATACTAGAAGGAAGATTGTTTTCTTTATTTCATAGTTAACTAACACCATAGATATTGTATAAACTTTTTACAATTGAATCATGTTTATCACAGTCAGAGCAGTTGAGAGTCCAATATATTAAAACGGGAATATCGTGTTTCTGCACGTTCAAACTCTGCAGCAATTTCAGATCCATCTGGGGACACCAGGATAAGACTCTGGCGATATGCAGCCAATGCATTACAATTGAAGTTAATTGGGGTTCTAGAGCGCTTTCTGTTAGTCTGGCGTCGCCTAGAGCATTTTCTATTTCGTTCTGTAAAGTCGAAGTCTTTCCTGGATTAAGTACATTGGAATCTATGAGCCAATTGTTTTCTTTCCTTATTTTGCAGTATTTTGATTTATCAGCCTTTTGCACCCAATTAGGGTCTGGTAGCATCGAGTACAATGTTTCCAACATATTGGGATCACTGGCATCCACAGTTTTTCCTGTGAGAATGCATAGAGCTATAAGCTTGAATTTCTCTTGTCCTATCTCTTGAAATAAAGTCCTAAGAAGTGAGGACGGTTTTGGCACTGGTAGATTTGAAGAGAATGGTTTTTCAACAATTATTTGGCAGCCTAAAAGCCATGCAAACCACAGGTGCAGATGAGCATATATTGCTGGCTTTCCTGTTAGTTGGGACAAGGAACGTCCCGTATTGTTGGGCTGATTTTGAGCTTGCCTCACAGATCTTTGTGGTCTCTGCAATTGTTCCTCTTCATTTACTTTAGCTGAATATTCATTCAAAATTCCAGCAATGTCCTTTATGTGCTTAAGTAAAAATGTCCATTTGTTCAATAAATGGAGCTTATCTCTCATTAACATTAAAATAGTATACTTCCTCAAGAATCCTCTGGCCAATGAATCGTGAACTGTAAAGCTGTGCGAAATAACATGACCTCTCTCATTATCTCCAAAGTACAGTGTACCCTCCTGCTCACAACTGAGGCTCCTCACAGTAGCCTGCTTCAATAGGAAAGCCAAGTCCTGCTGCAAAGGTGTTCTTGTTGTTACATAGATGCAATACTCATCCCGGCTGACTAAAGCCTGATCCAGCTCCAGGGATTGGCAGGCCTCACACCATGGAACTGTGAGGCTGTGTGGACCTTGCTCAGGATCACCTTTACATCTTTGTGTGGATAAAACGACGCAAGGACCGTGCGTTTCACAGAAATGACCTAATGCTAAAATACCTTCCATTTTAACACAGGTTATGTTATTATTTGTGTATGGTTTTGCGCGAGTGAGGGTTATCTAAGCGAATTTAATTATAATACTCTGTGAAATGAATGAAGTTGATTCGAAATTGGGTGACCTGGACTTGGAGGATCAAAGTGATACAACAGGTAAATGGTGCAATGTTTCATTACTTTGTTTTCTAAGTAAATATACTTCTTAGAAGAAGATACCAGCAGCAGCGATGAGAGTGATGTCGAGATCAAATTTAATGTGGCTATGTGGGATTTCAATCAGTGCGATCCAAAGAAGTGCTCAGGACGGAAATTGGCCAGATTAGGGTTGGTTAAATGTCTGAAGGTGAAGCAGAAGTTTCCTGGATTAGTGTTAACTCCAACTGGGAAAATCTGTGTGAGTCCTGCAGATAAAGACATCATAACAAAGAAAGGGTTAGCTGTGGTCGATTGCTCATGGGCAAAAATTGATGAGACTCCTTTGGGAGCTTTGAAACCCCAACATGCTAGACTATTGCCGTACTTGGTAGCAGCAAATCCTATAAATTACGGAAGACCGTGCCAGCTGAGCTGTGTGGAGGCTTTGGCTGCTGCCATGTACATTACAGGGTACAAAAAAATTGCACACCATTACTTGGACAAGTTTGGTTGGGGCCATTCTTTCATAACATTAAATGAAGAACTGTTGGATATTTATGCAGCATGCACCGACAGTAAATCAGTGGTTGAAGCACAGGGAGCTTACATAGAGAAGGAACAGCAAGCACAGCTGCAGAGGCAAAGTATGAAATTACTATATACATATATTAACAAGTTCATTTATTATAAAAACTATTTTCTTTTAGATATTCCTGACTTTCCCCCATCAGATTCTGATTCTACAGATAGTGATACTGATTAATTCTAAAATCTAACATATATGTAAAATATTTATAAATATATTATGGATATTTTTTTTTATTTAAATATTTTAACTGGTCGTGTTGATTTCCTCTATGGGCAAATGCGCGATGAATCTCAATCTCAATTGCAAGGCTGGCCTCAACTTCCTTACTATCGCTTCGATTTCATTCTTGAGACCATCTCCAATGAACATGTACTTGATGTGATAAAACAGATCGCATATTGGATCCATGTAATTTAAAGCGCTCTGAGCGTGATCGACCTGCGCCAAGAGTTCGTACAAAGAATGCGTTAATTCGGGCATAACGTTAATTGACAGTAGCTTCAAGCGTGGGAAGAATGGTCCAATGAGGTGGCATACCATGAGGAATTGGGCTTCCGATCTAACCACGGATGGGAGTCTATCCCTAACCCATCTGGGAATACTGGCTATATGACCTGGTCCAGCGTGATGCCAAACCGAATGGGCCAAAGCCAGCATGTAACTGAACTTGTTGTAAAGCATAGCGTTATGCGTTTCCTTAAAGTCCAAGAGTCTGAATGGAGAGCAGTCCCAGACGTAAGGTTCCATTTCAGCGATGGTCTCCAACAAACAGTCGTGTAGCACAGTCCAATAGCTGCTAGGTAGAGCGGATAACAGCAATCCGACTGCGTTGATCCATTGGTTAATCTCTTTTAATGGTATAGCAGTGTATCCTCTTAAGACCACGTCCAGAAGACCAGTGGCGACAGCTGGAGGACCGGCACTCAGAGCCATCAATTCTACGCAACTTGTATAGAGAATATGAGCTCCGGCGTTTGGAAATTCGTTAAATCTCCAATCGGTGAGCGAAGCCGGAGATTTGCCTGAAACTGTGTCAACGACTCGTTTGACCAATTGGATGTAGTAATCTAATTCAGGGATCCAGACATCGTCTCTGGCTAAATACACTTGGTAAGGTTCAGACAGCGTGTCTTTCAGCGATCCCAAAACGGCACCAACTAATCGCCTCTTCAAGGGCGGACGATCATGCAATTTCGCTTCGTAGTAATGCAAAGTATTGTATAAATACGTCACCGGTCTATCGTGGAACTTGTACAAGCAACCTAGGTGTTCCAAAATGATCTCCAAACTTTTAGTAACCTACGAAAGCAAATCACCTATTAACATAAACAAATTTAAATACAACGTGTGCTAAATACCTGCTGAATTTCCAGGAATCTATGAACAACTATGTCGAATACGGGCAAGAATCTCAAACAGACGTTACCAAAATACGGATGGTAACCACCGGTTTGTTCTTCTGGTGCGGACTTCTCTGGGAACTTCCGATGGAAATCCAAATGACGTTCGTGCCAATTGACTTGATTCCAATGATCCGGCGAGTTGTCCTTAACGAAATCTTGCACTCGATTTCTGAATTCCGTGGGTTTCAACAATACTAACTGTATGATGAAAGAACAAACCTGAGCTTCGCTTCCTTCTTGCGTTCTCAAAGCTAAACATAGGACCAACCTGTCGATGGTCACTATATTATATTTCCATATCATGTCGTTGATGGTATCCACGCATTTATTAACGTGTTGTCCACCAGGCGAATTACTAAATTCAAAGACCAAACTATCACAGAATTTACGGAGATGAGCGGATAACGCCCTAGCGCCGATCCTTTCCAAGATCTTGTATGCTATAGGGCTTATATGATCGGTCTCCAGAAGCATTTTCCATAGCAAACAGAGGAATAGAGGCGGCGCTCCTGGTACTCCAAAATGCGCTAAAATATCGTTCTCGTTGTTCATCGAAGCCCATTTCCTGTATTCCTCCTCGACAGCCTTTTTCAGCTGCTGTTTGTTCTCTCTGGCAACTGCGTTTTGCGAAAAGAAATCAAAAAGGGCTTTTGGAAAACATTCTAGTGTGTGTGGAGCCCAAGCGTGTGGTGTACTTTGGGCTATAGTAGACAGAATCTCGGTGCACCAGTTTCCATCAGGTCCAGTGACGTGGGTCGCCCTGGCAAGGGTTAAAACCAAAGCCCTATTCAATTCTTCTGATTCAGCAGAAACCAATGTTTTTTGTTCCGAAAGGAATCTAGATAATTCTGGCTGTACCTAAAGTAATAAACTTGTATTAATATCAATGGATGTACCTATTTATGTTTACTTACTTCGGCACTTCCTAAACCAGTAATTAAACGCAAAGCTGTGGACTCGACGCACAAATGCAATTGAGTCTGATTTGCTTGAGGTACAGCAGCCAACGAATGCAAGTGGCTCAAGAGTTGCACTCTGTAATGTGGATGGATGTGATGCATTCTATAACTGAACATCTCGAGTAGAGTATACAGAGTGTTCCAAGCGTGCGATTTGTAAACTGTTGGAAGTAATTGGCTTATGAATCCTTTGATGCCAAGAGACTCAATTTCAGTGTATACCAATAATCTGCTGTAAGTTTCTACTAATGCTGGAGCCAACGGAACGCCGGATTTACTTTGCGCCAATTTTATCACATGAGTTACGATGCTGTGTATTAAAGACATTTTGGAGTGAACAGTTAAAGAATCTAGGACTGCCATGCTGAGTGGAGCCGTTGGCGGAGATGTGCTCTTCGATCCTTGTATGGTCTCTACTAAAGCAGCCATAGGTTTGCTGAAGTAATCTTGATTTGTTGAATAGGCGTTGCAGAGTAAGGCAATTCTATAATCTTGTCCCATAGCGAGTGGAGGCACCAGATGTTGCAAGAACTCGTGATGTGCTCGAAGTCTTGGAGGTATACTCCAAGCAGGATGTCCTTCGCTTTGCGCTTTCTTAGTTAAATGAATCCAGATGCAAGTAATGGCCATTTGCCTTGTGCACTGCGATTGATTAAAATCAGGAACGGGCAAAGGAGGTTCGTCGTCAGGGAAGAGCAGTTCATACAATCTCAAAACAGGCAGAAAGTTTGATAGAGGATTTCGCTGTATTGAACCAGAAATGAATTGCAGCAAAAGCCACATCAATTGATCTCTGCCTTTCTTCAGATCTTTCCCGATGAGACGATCGTGCAATGCAAGAACTATGTTTGGAAAACTCGAGAATTGAAAGAGAACGAAATAAATTACTTGCGACGATAAATGCAACCATAATCCTTGCGTGTCTACACCTTCCTGTTCGCTCTTTTCCATTGCTAACACCACCAGGTCCACCAGTTGCTCTTCTAGCGCAGCACAGTGTTGTTTATGCTGTTTCAATCCAAGCATACCGCACACCATATCCCTACTGTATGGTTGTTCTAAAACATATCTCAATAAACCTGTTTGTTTGGAAAGCAATTCACTTGGATAAGGTAGAATCCCTGTTAAAGTGAATTTCAAAGTCACAGGATCCAGTTTCCAGGGATTTACAAAATGTTCTGGGCATCCACTGTGCTCCACAACAGGTCTCATTTCTGTTTGCCCAACAATAGAGACCATCTGTGCCAAAGCTCTGAAACTATCCACATAATCGTAGAATAAAGATGCCAATCTCCAATGAGGACAATCAGAATATGCCTTCTGCAACTCATTGGCTAGCAAATATCCAGGCAGTAAACAAACATCTCTATCCATAATTCTTTCTGCCAAATTTAACAAAGCCTTGGTTTGCGGTTGAAGTCCTATATTTAAATGTCTAGGGAGGCTCTTTGCTTTCTCACAGCAACCCTAAAATTAATTCAAATTAATAGTAAAAATATCTAAGATTTGTTTTGCTTGCTTACCTTCATGATTTCTCTAACACCTTTATATTCCACCAAATCAATTGTCCTCCTAAGCAAGGAGAAACATTCCACCCAAAAGTCTTGATTTTGATATTGTAACTTGTCGTATGTGATGATGGACTCGCAGGCAAGTCTAGCTGGAAGTACCTTCAGTTTGATCAACCTCTCCAGAACTTCCATGAGCAATTGCAGTCGACTGTAAGAGCAGGTGCTTCCAACAGATAGCACTTGTCTGAGAGCTGCTTCCAGGACATCGTTGTTGGCCTCCTGAAGGATTGTCTGTAACTCTTGCACCCATACTGAGATTTTGTCCAATTCAGCCCCTTGTCTATGAATCAAGAAGCAACTGAAGGCTTCTTCGATTCCCTCCACACGAAGAATCTCGTTTAGAACCCCCGAAACACCTTCACTCATCGTAACTGGCTTCTTTTACATTAATAGTCGATAATTTGTAAACAAACGTATTTATAAGGTTATGCGGTGTAAATATTATCGTTGATTGTAGAGGTCTCCACTGTAGCTAACTAAAATACAGGGTGTTGGTAAAGTAGAAAGGGTAAAACCATATACAGAGTGTTGTATATTTTTATTACGGAAAGTAAGTCCTTTGCGGTTGTGCGAGCTAAGTTGCATACTTCCACTCCTGGAAGAAACAGAACAGAAGTTTTTTGCAGCAGTTGAAATTTTTATTATTATATTAAGGTTTTATTTTGTATTTGTTTTATTGTTGCAATTAATGTTATTATTATAAAAATTGGTTTTAATCGATTTTAAAAAATGTTCTGATTATATCCTTAATAATATTAATTGCAACAATAAAAAGATCGATAGATTTATAAAGCCTTAAAAACATTTTTTGAACTTTGAATTATTTATAAATAAATTGTTAAAGCTATAAACTATCATTACCAAGAATTGAAAACACTGCAATTTTGAGTCATATAAAAATACAGTTAATCCTGTTTTGCAATAGGAAAAGGTTTAAAAAGACAATAGAATTATATAACAATGTTGCTTTTATTTCAATAGATATTCATATATATATAATTCATCATTTTTATAAAAGAGAAATGGAAACTAACATAGTTTCATTAATAACTGAGATTTATGTACAAATATAAATAAAATTTTAAATATTATTGGTGGAGCTGTGGCGCAACTGATAATTCCTCACAATGCACAGATCTCTAGCCATACTGGCTCTTCCTTGCGATGTCTGCAAATCATGCAATCTAACCAATAGGCTGGGTGTAAAGAGTTCCGGAAGCGTTTTCAATAAATCAGAGACGAGTGTCGCTGAGATTGCACTCAAAACGATCCTGTTTATGGAGACAGCTCGAATATCGACAAGATTCTGAAGCAGATGAAACGTGAAGTACGTCTGCTGGGTGATTTGGCCGTCCTGTATATGTGATTCGAAACTGGTCAAGAGTTGTTTGAGAGCGGTTACAACTCCATCCATGGTCCGCGGTTTCTTGGCTGGAGGCTGTTCATCCGTGGTCGATTTATCTAAAGCCGCGTAAACGCAGTGGCTGGTCAGTTTGGCGACAGCAGATAACTGTGGTTCCATCAGATTATCAGTCTGTAAGCTGTTGTAAAGTAATCTGGGTAATGTGTGGGTTAACAGTTCGATGGTACATCCTCTTATATCAACGTGGAAACAAGCCAAAGCAATTTCGACGCCTCTTTCCAGACGATCTTTGTACCGAACTAGCTGTAGCTCCTGCAGAATGGCGGTGACCAGCCATCGAGCGCCCGCTGTTTCCAAGAGACAATGTATACCTCTAGCTGAAGAGTGATCCAACCAACCTCTTTGGATAGCACTGGTCCACGCGTTGTGTAATTGTTCCGCAGCCGGTTGCTTAGAAACCAAATGCCTTCCGCTCTTTGGCTGAAGTGGCAACTGAATGTCTCTTTGCATTTTTCTAATAATTTCACAGGTCAATTGCCATCTTTCGCTGTCATCGTCACCGAGAGGCGCAAGCAGTTGCTGTACCATATTAACTGGCTTCAACAAAGTGTCGTGAGGGGCTGCACGCATGTAAGAGCACAGCCAAGCTGCGGCTGCCAATGGCAAACAGCACATTTTACCACGGACAGCATCCAAGATCCTCTTCACGTCTACAGCTGCCAAGACTCCTTGTTCCCATGCCACCAAAACCTCTCGCATTACTCCAGACATACTGAACAAAATGTTGCCCCATTTGATGCTATTTCCAATTATATCAGATTCGCCAGCGTTGAATTGTCTCAACAGCAGCTCAATCGTAGCCGGATCGCTCAATCTCAGTAGTTGTTCGGGGGCTTTAGGTTTAGTCGATTCCACCATGCACGAGTTAATCCAACATTCCACCAAAGAATCTCCGTTCCCGTCTAGAACCGCATCCGCTCCATATTTCTGAATGATCGCTACCAGCATAATAAAGCTTATATCGAACAGCTGTGCTTTATTCTTATCCTGCTTGGAACCCTCGTTGAATCTGATCAGCAACTGGACTAACGTTTTGAGTTGTCCTTGTACTGTAGCCACAGCCAATATAAGCTCAAAACTCTTTCCAGTCAACACCTGATGCAACATTCCAAGCAGTGCATCTTGAATTTTATCGCTCGACAAAGTTTTCAGGATTCCGTTCAAAGTAGGCTCAGCGCATATAATAACTTTCGGTATACCAGCGACTGTATCCAATTTAGGGCTGAACGTTGGATGTCTTCTGCTCGATAATTGCTGCGATTGCCCTTCGGAGAGTAAACAAACTTTGGTCAGTTCTTTGAGGAGGCAGTCGAAAGTCGAACACGACGATTGAGCGTCCATAGCATCCAATAATGGAGAATGCTGTAAAAGTAATTCAACTCCAGCTGCTACGCTTTCACCAACATGCAGTTCATTCTAAAAAAAACATATAAATTAGTTTATAAAATAAATTATATAATGGATTATAACATACTAGAATATTAGGAACTTTCAGGAAAGCAAAAGCGCCCCACTGACTCTCATGCTGGGTTTGATTAACATCATTCAAGCAGATCAAGCTGCCTCTCATCAATTCACTGCATAGCCTCGCATCACTAATCCTCTTCAGGGTCTGCAGCAGTCTCAATCTTTGTGCCAAATGAGGAGTAGAAGTGCCAGGATTACTCAACAACTGAATGGCCAGCCAGGCTTGTATGAGAGACCCAGGCACTGGATCATTTTCCAATTTTGGTGTAATCGAATCAGGATCAATCCTTTGAAGCACCAACAGAATATCATTCAAGTCATATCCCTCCAAATCATGGCAAACCTGGCACATCTCTTTGAACATGTCTGTATCACAAAACCTGGCTAAGCACATCATAGCAACATAGAACTTGTCTGCCAGTAATAGCCTAAGCAGAGCAGTGGCCTTTTCCTTTAAATCGCTAACATGCTGAATAATCTGCAACAGCCAAATAGTGGTGGCCAAAAGAGCCACAGCCAATTTAGTCTCCTCTGACTTTCCACAGCAAGTGGCTCCTGGTAAGATACCTTCCAGGAAATCAAGTAGACTACTAAGGCAGTGGAACTTCTGGAATTGATCAAACTTTGCTAGCCTGGACAGAACTGCTGCATGGGACACAAGTTGGGCACTGATGGAGTGTTTCAGGTAGCTTAAAACCAACTGATTGGCCCCAGAACCAACTAAGGCTTGCTGCAGTATACAATCTGCAAGATTGTACACATCTCCACTGACTCCTCGAGGTAGTACAGTCTTTATGTAAATGCCCCATTGAACGTCAGACCATCTCTCCCTCCAAGCTCTGAGCAGAAGAGCCTTCAAGCAGCTTGTTTTACTGGTAGTTTTTGATTCCATTTAAATATGTCTATCAATCAATGTTCACTCATCAAAACACGCTCCTTGTTTGTAATTATTTCCTAGTTGAACCATAAACTAAGAGTGTATTTGTAAATATTATTGCATATTAAATATAAATTAAATGCACCCACAATCAACAAACGAAAGAGATTCACAAACTGCTTTAATGGCACTTCTGGATGTTGGTTATATAGCAAAACTAATTTATTATTATGTTGGTATCACCGTAAAAAAGTATATTACAGTAATATACAGTGTGTTCCAAACTATACGATTGAACTAAAAAAAAAATTAAAGCACATTTCGTTAAAATTGAAAATACTTTTTACGATTTGAAGAAATTACCTTTTTGTTATTTCTATATACAGTTTTGAGTTAGTAAATAAAAATGTATCTCTTTATAAATCTTCAACAATTAAAAAATTATCATTTATTTGCTTCGTTTAAAAAAAAAAAGTAGAGAAACAGTACAAACAAAATTATGTAAATAATAAAAATGGTTTCAGAAAACGATATAAAATATTAACATTAGATACAATGTGAACACAAAGAATGATAATAAATTTTGTAAAATGTAAAATTATTTACAATAGTTTTGTTTTTTTTTTGCACCTCATTTTATTTGAAAAATATTTTTAAAACATCTTTATAATTTAAAATATAAACATCCTTATCTTCCTTATCAGTAAATATGTATAAAATCAATTGTAACAAAGTATTATGTCCGATGTCGATTCCTGTGCTGGCCACCCCTGGAGCCTCGTATCCTTGCCTTTTGATTATCATTCTGTGGTGGACCGTTGCCAGCTATTCTATTGGTATTTTGTTGTGACTTGTTGGGTCCTGTCGAGTTGTTGTGTACTGCTGGGGAGGAGGTAGTCACTGTGGGATTGGAGGGACCAATCCGTCCTGCACCATTATTGGTGCCATTGTTCAGGGGCGCGTTGTTAGGAGGTCCTCCAAGAGGGGCCAACGGAGGCATCACAGAATTAGGTTCACTCATGTTTATGTGTTCATTGAAAACCATGCAGAACTCTCCTATCTTCTGCAGATCGCCACCCTTGGCTGTATACAATGTGAGACAGTTTCGCCACAGACTCACATACCCTTTGGTCAACCGAACTATATCACCTGGTACTAACAACTGCCCCGGTTCATCCCAAATACTGGCGTTTATGCATGCACTCTGGTCAGCCACTTTGAATGTTCGAACTTCGCGATTCTCTTTCGTCACCGTTGGATGACCTACCTCTAAAACAATAAATATTACACTGATGTTCTTCAAGCCAGGCTTCATGTCTTTGATTTGCACATAGTTGTCCATCATGTAGTGCTGCTTCGCCTCGCTTCGCTTCGCTAAGGCACTGTACGTCTCTCTGCGGAAAAGAACAACCTAATGCATCTTGCTATAGCAGTGGGTAAGAAGGAAACAAAGGAATTAGAATGAAGCCAATCAGAAAGCAACCAAAGGAGCGAATGTGTGCCTATTTTAGTCGAGTACGAATGCAAATGACATCTCCCATTTTAACCACAGAAATGCGAGCCGATCCTGGCGTCCCCTGGTGTGCATTCACGAACTAAAAACAAAGTACATATTCAAAGAAAAAGTACACACCATACTCAATTACCTACATCATTCATACCCACTTCCAATATCAACATTTCTAATAATAGATTTTATGTAGCCACATTACAATTTAATTAATATAGTTCAGTATTTAAATTGTAACATTAATTAACGTATTGTTTTAATCTCATTACAAAGAATGAATCCAGACTTCACAAGTTTACTAATACTAATTCTATAATAACAATTTCATATCTAATATCTAGAGTAATATTGCTTATTATAAAGATTAGTTCATAAACTGCAATTTTTTATTCTGCACAAAATTTATAAACAATATAATCTTAAAGCAATTCCAGTCTTTGACGAACGAAAAGGCGCTGTACTAGGAATTTAAAAACAAAACTGCAGAAATGTACAAAAAGAAGCTCTGTTTGTTTTTCTAACTATGGAAACTTGTACTTTCTTAATAATTCACAACAATTTATTTTAAATATAAACTGGAGCGACATCTACCAGTGAAATAGCAAAGATTGTAGTTCATACATTCTGGTGTTTTTTTTTAAATATTAATTTTATTTACAACAAAAAAAAAACCTAATTAGATCTCTGTATTAAAAATAATTAATTAAAATTGTTAATTTTCCAATAGATAATTAACGCAGATATATATATAATATTAAAATCAATTAATTAGTATTCAAATCAGAGAGTCGAACCGAAATTAATTTCGTTCCGGTTTACGGTTACGTTCCAAGTAAATGTTTATCGTTCCAGATTCGCTTTCGGTTCGTCTAAAAATTTCGGTTCAGTTCCGGTTGAAATTAAAATTTAATATCAAACTTTGATTTAATTTTATTTACCAAATTCCATTCTTACTTATTGTTTTCAATTATAAAATTGAAAATACAAAAGAAATAAAAAATAATTAGTGACTCACTCATGTTTACAGTAATATCCTTTTTAATCACTTTCATTTCAGTTTGTGCTTGCCATTTCTTCTTCAAATTTTTCCTTTTTAGTCGGTGGTTAATTGGTGTTGATTGAGGCTTTATTTATATTGATTAAGCGTTTCCACCGAATTCGGCATTAATTGTTACATGAAAGAAAATGTAATAATAATTTAAAAAAAGAATGAACCGAAATTAACCGTAATTATAATTCCGGTTTCGGTTTTTCAATTGAGCAAATGTGGTTAATTTCGGTTTTCGGTTTCGGTTCGTTATATTCTTTCAGTTTCTTAAGAACTTTGTTCGGTTTACTGATAATTATTAATTTATGTATCTCAATTAATATTATTCAAATATATGCAAACTAGGTTGATTCTTAACAAACGACGGTACAGTCTGCTGCAATTGTTATTGCATCTACATACTTTATATTCATGCTATTTTAATTATGATCTTGTTACCTTGTGTATATATTAAAAACATATACACTGTAATTGTTTTTTTCTCTTAGTATTATAGTAATAGTAATATTTATCTCATATTTTTTTTAGTTTGCTAAGGTGTAACGGAAATATTTTACAATTGAATTACTTAAAATACTTTCACGTAGAGGCAACTCATAATAATCGCTTATTGTACAATAGGCTATTGACCGAAGAATTTCTGCTGGCAACTTTCATTTTGCTTCATTCACTTATTAATAAAAAAAATATAATACACTTGGTTCTCTTTTTGTGCGGTAGTTACGTTCGACAGAAAAACGCATAAAAATAAATCGCACAAAAAA